AAAAGCAATAATATTAGAGCAATCCCATATAGAAATTTACAATGAAATTTGAAGAACAAAACATACCAATTACAGAAAAGATATGGAAATACATCTATAATTGTCCAAAAACAGTAATAAAAAGACGAAAACTAAATAATAATGGTAACTATAGTATAATTTTATGTGATGAAAGCAATCACATAAGCATACAAAACCTCTAATAATGTTGTATGAAAATCCCTTATAAAAATTTCTAATTCTACTCAAAAATTAAGATATGATATAAAATGATCAAAAAATATTATCCTTTATTATTTTTATTCATATTTTAATTGAACCGAGATCAATCTTTCTCCACATTTATCTTTTTCCTGGGCAATTCTAGAGTAACACCTTCTTCATCTACGTTGATTGTAATATCAGGAGGGAGTTGGATTTCTTGTGCTATTATATTTTCTTCGCCTCGTTCATGTTTTGTTTTTTATCTAACTTCACTAGGAATTTGAACGCTTTTCTATGTTGAACACAAATTTCTAAAAGTATGAACTTTGATTATTTTTCTGTTTCAATGAGAAAAAATGTTATTTTAATATATATGGAATTTTTTTGATTTTCTAAATTATTACTTGAATAGAGTTAAGGATTATCTCTTTTTTCTATAATAAATTTTTCTGTTGTGCATCTAATAAAAGTTTTTGTTGCATCAAACAGTGTTACCCTTGCAATATACGTGTTATTTTCCACGAGAATCTTAACTATGTACCTGTAGTTTCATTACCGATTTCTAGAGATAGTTAATATTGTATTTTAATATGTTCATGCCATAAAAAAATATATATTACTTAACATTAGTTCTGAGTCATTAATGATTCAGCGGCATTTATCATTCGTGCACTCTTTACTGACATCTTTATCTACCTTCTTGTTGTAGTCTTTGCAAGCATTGAACCATGGCTCGAGTCTATTCAAAATAGTAGTTATCTTTGCTTTAAATGTGCAATAACGTGTCTGTATATTGACAAAATTTAGTTAGATTTAAATATGTTAATGAGAATAGGTTTCTAATATTGTACGTGTATCGAATTCTGCGATGTAAGTATAATATCACTAATTTGAATTTCTTTTGAATTTATAAAAAACGTTGATGGAGATCCTTTTGATTTTGTGGTTTTTTCCAAATGAAACCTGCACATTAGATTAAAATATAATACTATTTCATTATTGCGTTATATGAAAGTAGGCCTGTCCATCCGGGCCGGCCCGGTTTTTTTCTTTTTTTTTAATTTTTTTTTCAAATTTTTAAATTTTATTTAAATTTTAAATTATAAAAAAAGACAAAAAAATAATAAAAAAATAATAATTTTATTAATCACTTAAAATGACATAAATTACAAATAAAAAAGTATAAAAATAAATTCTTTATTAATAATTAATAAATCATTTACAAATTACAAGTATAAATTTATTTTGGAATTCATCACATCACAATAGATAAGTACATCTCACCTAGGTTTTTTTAAATTTCTTTTTTTTTGATAAAAAATGCTAAAATTTAGTTTAATATTATTATATTTTATATAATTATGTATTAGTATATACTTCTAAATTATTATGTAACTATATATTATATATACATATATTATATGTAAATATATTGTATATATTTATAAGTTATAATTTAAGAGAGAGAGAGAGAGAGAATCGCATAAGTAACCCTGTAGCCGTTGCTCGTTGGGCCAATGAGGAAGTAACCGTTGTAATATACTATACTTATATACTAAGAGAGAGAGTATACACACACACACACATATATAAAAGAGTATACTTATATAATAGGGAGTATACATATATAAAAGAGAGTATACTTATATATACATATATACTAAGAGAGAGAGTATATTAGTATATATATATATACACATATATTATACATATATAAGAGAGTGTATACTAATATATACTTATATAAGAGAGAGTATACATATATAAGAGAGAGTATACTTATATATACATATATACTAAGAGAGAGTATATATATACATACATGCATACATTATACATATATAAAAGAGAGTATTCTTATATATATATATATATATACTTATATAAGAGAAAGTATACTTATATATACTTATACATATATATCCCGGGCCGGGCCCGGGCCGGGCCCGGGCCGAGGGCTGTTTTGGACAGCCCTATATGAAAGTATGCTTGTTCTACTTACCATTCCCTTAATTCTTTAGCTAGTTGTATTTTTGGGTTGATACATATTATTGATATAATTTGTAACGATATGCTTGTCTCCCCTGCAAAATTGAGATAATTATTCAATGAATTTTATGTTTATTTGTCTTTAATAAGAATTTCAATAATAAATTATGTACCTTCGTATATAGAGATTTAAAATCTGATAATGCTATTACTGACTTATCTTTAATTTCAGCTTCAAATTTTGATCATTCATTTGTAGCCAAATCCCCAAATAAAGTTGTGCGCGTAGTCATCCCACTGTATATGAAAAAAAAATACGTTAATCTTATTTTTTTTCCTATATAAGATGAAAAAGAAACAAAGAGAAGTGAATAAGAAATGAGTTTCTCCAATTATGACAACACACACCACACTATACTGAAACTTCAATTTAGATAATATAAATGCATTTATCCATGCACAGAAGTACTAAAAAATGTGAATGGATAGAACTCATGTCCCAACTTCATGACGAGCTCCTCCAACACCCTCCTTCTCCACCGAAAGCTTCACCACCACCTCCAAATCCACATCCCCTTCCTCGATCGAATATTTGCCACTACTTCCTTTGTCATACCCATCATATTCATCGAATCAACCACAATTGCCCATCGAACCTAGCTTCTCCACATCCTCTGACATCATCTCCGGGCCATACTATCGAAATTGCTAAGCTCGCTGCAACCACCTTCATCAAATTCACATCACCGCTAATACCGAGCTTGCCTCAAATGGCAGAAGTAAATCTTTTACTATTCAAACTCTCCGTCTTCCTTACATTTCATTGCATTGGCAAAGCAAAGAAGAGTAGCAGAGGGGGAAAAAGTAGAACTTGGATACTATAATCATTTGATTTAACCTAGTATTTATTATGTGAAGGGTGGTAGAGGGGGGACCCGGGAATGAGACTATATAGAGAGTGTGATGAAACAGCTGGAAGTTGGAGGGGTTCGTGATAATTTGTTGAAGGTATCAAAAGGAGCTCACTTGTCAAAGGTGTTAATACACAAAAAGAAGCTTTCCAAACTACTAAATTTTTTTAATGAAATGTTTCCATTAGAAGGACATCAAATTTTCACTCATTAGAAAATCTAAGTTTGTGGGGACTACTTAAGGTAGAATTATAGAAGTATGAACTATTTTCTATCTTGGTTTGTGTCTCTCAGACACCATTAACTATTGAAGTTTGAATAAAACATTTCATCTATGTCTTTACATATGTGCACATAAACACCAAGTTATTGTTAACAAGCTGATTAGATAATGATTAATTTATTAATTTAATTAGAGTTACATAATTAATTATTTCAATTTTTATTTAAAACCACTCTAGATGAAATATAAACCTTATTTGTAGTTGATAAGCACTAAAAAAAATAATGTTTAATTATAATCTTATACTATTAAAAATCTAATGTTTAATATAAAATTGTACTATTGGAGTTGCATTATTACATAAATAATAATTCCTACAATATATTAAAACATCACACGCTTGATAATCTAATACTATTATGATAACTGATTTAATTGTTATATTAGATTTAATTTATTTAATAATATAAAGAATATTTATACTATAATATAAACCTTTAATTAATGTGATTTACTAAGATTGTGTGTTATGATAATAGAGTAAATTGGTTAATTTCATGAAAGATGAAGGGCATTTTTGGGAAATAAAAGTTTTTCTAGTACTCACTCTTTTAAAGGGAGAATGATTAAATTGTTGGAACACTAGAATGACAACTATCCCGCTTGGGACAAAATTGTCCCACTTCTATAGATTTTTTTTTTGTTTTTGTTCCCTTAACTCTAATTTTGACTCATTCATCATGTTGGAGTGAGTTAGACCATCTCCAACCCATTGCACTAAAATGGTACAAAATTTACATCAAAATAATGCAAAAGCCACATCAAACAGTAATTTATCTCCAACCCACTGTATCATTTTTTGCACAAAAAAATAATATTCTCGGTATATTCTTTTTTATCTATTTTTATATTATTATTTTTTATTCCCTATATTTTTAACTATTTCAACAATTAACACCACATATTAAATTTTATATTTTTCACATATTTTTCAAACAAAATAATTTATTATTTAAAAAATTAAACTAATAAAATAATAAAATAATATTTTATTAATTAAGAGGTAATAAATAGAAACAGGTATGACTTCACAAACAAGAAGAGGAAGCGGAAGGAGGACCGTCGTTCATTCAAGAAGAGGCCAAAGGGGAACTAAGTCAAGAATCTTCACATCATGCTCCAATCAAAAGAGGGACCATATCACAAGTAGGGAAGTCAATTTTTGCTCATACCCATTTACCCACCTAGCCCACCCATCACTTGGCTCGTCCAAAACCTACCCATTTAGTTAAATGGGTCTAATCGGACGGGTTCATTTTAAATTATATTAAATGGGCACTAAATGGGCAGTGTTTATTAACACATTTGCCCGCCCGCCCGTATTCCCAAAACAAAAACCCTTAGGGCTTGTTTGGATTTGGAGGGGGTGAAGGGAAGTTAGGGGAACCTAGGGGAAGTTAAGGGAAGGGAAGGGAAGTGAATTTCTAAAACTTGTTTGGGAAACTAGTAAGGTGAATCAAGGGGAAGTTATTTCACCCCGTTTGGAAAGTCTAATAACGGGAAGGGAAGTGAAGGGAATGTATATAAATTGACATAAATACCCTCACATGTTAAAATTGAAGCTTTGCACGGATATATATCCTCACATGTTAAAAAAGAAAATCCATTGTGCTCTGTTTCTCTCAAAGCTATGTAGAAACTTTAATTTGATGCAAAAGGTGATCAACGCATGCATAGTTGAGATTTCTTTTGTTTTGTAGCAGTACATATTTTTACTTGGTTGCCTGCTATCGTGTCATCTACCTCATTTCTGGTCCATTTTCTAAACTCATGCTTTAATTCTATATGCCAGTTTCCACAACTTCAGGCTTCTGCAATGCTTGCTCTCTGTAAACTAACGATCATTGATGCAGACTTTTGGTAAGTCATAGACAAATTGTACCATCCCTTCTGGTTTATGAAACTGATGCATGTATATAAAAGTTCTGGTTTATGAAACTGATGAATGTATATAAAAGTTATGTGAACAAATTTCAGCGAAGCAAATCTTCAACTTTTGTTCACTGTTCTGGAGAATGCGCCATCAGAAACTGTTCGATCCAACTGCACATTCATACTAAGTTTGGAATGAAAAATAATAATGACAATCACATACCAACATACATACTAAATAGGCTAAAACAACTTACATAAAAAAGGAACATAATTCATAAAATCAAAGTTTTGCAATTAGTACATGTTTCTAGCAAAATATGACCACATTCATACTAAGTTTTGCCACAAGCAACACAAAAACAAACATGTTCGTAATTGCCTCAGATAATCAAATTCGACAATACAACTTACAAAAATAAATGCCAATAATACCAGCACATCCCACCTTCATAAGATGAGTACATAATAAGCTAATAACGTGATCGGGCTAACATAGATTCTCAAGATAACATCATCATAAGAAGTTCCTTGCGCTCTTCAAATGGACATCCAAGCAAAGCTTTTAGATCCTCTGGATGCTTAGTTAGGACAAGATACGCTTGTTTAATTTGAGCAGTCTCAACACCAAGTTCAAGCAAATGGGTCCAAACATCACTACTTTTAATTGGAGCATGTTCAAGAGCTTGTATGTATTTATCACCAGTGGATTCAATTGCCTCAGCTATCCTCTGCATACCCTTTATCACCTCCTGATCAACAATAGAAATTTCATCCTTCGATTTTCTAGTTTTCTTTTGTGAATTTGCAGTTGATTTAGTTTCAGGGGTAATCACATTTTCATCATTGTTGTCATTTGGGTCCTCATCATTAATCCTATCGAAATTCTCTAACAAAATTTCATTTCGACATTTGGGTCCTCATCATTAATCCTATCGAAATTCTCTAACAAAATTTCATTTCGAGAAACCATACCATTGATGTCGTCAATTGTATGCGAATCATTTCACGACATATAACTCTTTGAGACATTATTTCTCGCACAACATCTCTTACTTCTTTAGGTTCTTGAGGATCAATATTTAATCTCCTAATCCTATCTCTTCGATGCACGAACCAATAAGCAAATAAGCAAATAGCATATCCAACCGCAATGTTACATGTGTGTTGAAATTGGAGCCATGCGTCCATTATCTATTCAACAAGTTAAAAAATGAGGAGTTAAGACATGGAATTTTGTATGAATATAGACGCATGTAAACACAAAACTAATATGAGCCAACATGAACGTGCGCATTTAATAAGACTCATGTAAGCAACTGAATATAAAATGAAGATCAAGAATCTGAACTGCTACCGCAGCATAGGTTATGTACATTTTAACTGATCCAGCATGTTTATAACAAATTATATCATACTATTCAACGAAGAACTCAATACAGGGATGGGGGCAATGTCAAAATATCTAGGTCCAGTGACCAATCAGAGCCAACCCAGGTGCAATGACAACCGTACACAAGTAACACAACCCAAGGTTTGATCTTCAGTTCAGGAGGCTACAGAAAAATGAGAAAGAGGGAAAAGATCAATTTTAAGGCTGTTAGCTGTTCATTATTTTCTGCCTCAGAAACAGAAGGTAACTATACATGACATTTTGAACAACAAAATCTGCAGTAAAATCCAACCGAGCCTAAAAACTGGAACGAATTACAAGATCTGCAGTAAAATTGAAGAAAGAGGAGAGAAATCTTACCTTGAAAAAATTTTGAGGCGAGATTGACGCGGAGACGAGTGAAGACGTGGAGGCGAGGGAAGCGGCGAAGAAGAAATGGCGGAGGAGGAAGCAACAGAGAGTTTATAATGTTGGGGTTTCTGTGAGAAAATTTCAACCGTTGGATTTTGATCTTAGCTAGGGGTAAATTTGTCTATTTACATTTATTGTATTCCCTCTCTTTACCTTCACCCTAGTTACACCCCAAATTGGAAGGGAAGAAATCTGTCCATTTTTTCACCTTCCCTCACCCCTATTAACCTGTTATATTTCCTTCCCAAACAAGGTTAAAAGTTACCCTCCATTCCCCTCACCCCCATTACCCTCAATCCAAACAGGGTCTTAATCCCGACCCCAGTTCCTCCTCCTCCTCCGCCTCCTCCACCGCCGCCTCAACCGCCTCTCGAACCCAGAGCCTCCTCCGCCTCCTCCTCCGCCGCCTCAACCGTCTCTCTACAATCTCTCTCCTATCCTTCATCGTCTTCAATCTCGAGAAAATCGATGTCTCGATCCACAAGTACGAGCTCGAGAGCTTCAAAGAGGTCAGCAATGCCTATCTCCTCTCCGGCGGCAGCAAGGGGATCGTCGCTTCTTAGGCCATCCACATCGATGATGGCAGCAGCAAGCGATCCTTTATCAAGTGAGTCCGTCGATCTCTTTTAGGATTTTGGCTGGATATGAGTTGAAACGGTTTAGATCTGAGATTTGATTGTGCTCGATAGGTTTAGGTCAAAAAAAAGTGAACTTGTGTGGATTTTGTATTATATAGTGGGATTCAGACAAAAATCCAGTCTACATCGAGCCAGTAAGTCATAGCTGAAGAAATTTCATAACTTTACCTCTTTAGTCTTCAGTGTTTACTGATGATATTGACTTGGAAATTACGTGGTTTTCTGAATATTCTCATGAACTGAGAGGACTAGATAAAATTTGTGAGTGGCTGCAGGCTTCAGAGATTACATTAAGAAACACTAAATTTGGTAGGAGAGGGAAGAAAACTTGCAGATTGAAATGGCTAATCATTTCAAATATAAAAATTTCTTTTCGGAAGAAAACCCTTAATAAAAAAGGAACCACCTAGTTCGGAAGTTTTGGAGTAATGAGATTAAGATGTTGAGGTGAACCTTGAAATTTTGAGAGCCATCTTTAGTTATTCTGAACTTGAAGTGTCATTACCTTGTTGGGTCTGTAGTGATTTTATGATGCACCAATAGAAAATTTTCTTCATGCATTACTATAGACTTTGAGTTTCATTATATAATCTTTGATAACAGTGAAATTGTACTGATGTTATCTTTTGCACATGCATATAAGTGTATGCTTGTTTGATCTTTGGCATTTATGATGAGCCAACGACTCCCGGGCAGTGCAATATTGGGTTCCTCAATGGTACAAACTTTGCACCAATTGCTAGTCTATTCTGATAATTATATTGCATCAGCTTGAAAGAATAATAATGGTACAAACTTTGCACCAATTGCTAGTCTATTCTGATAATTATATTGCATCAGCTTGAAAGAATAATATTAAGGCATTTATATTAGATTGTAGTCTATTCTGATAATCTAGGAAGGGTTTCAAATGTTGTTATTGTTGTCAACACCTGTGTGCATCTCTAGAACTGCTAATCCCCTGCTCCTTGCTATTTCTCAAGTTTCCTGAGTAAATTCAAAATGCATCTGTATTCCTTGAAGGGAATCATTTAGTAGAACATGCCTTCCTATTTTGATGTATTATTCTTTCAATCAATTTGCTAACAGGCATGGTACAAGCACTATATCCTGAGTGTAATAGAAAAGAAATCATTAGAGGTAACTGATTTGTTCTTATATTCTTATTAACTTGCGTCTTCTTTGTCAGAGGCTTATTTAATAAGTTAATATTGATGTTTGACTTATCCTGCCATATCTGATAAAAAAAAGTCTATTCAATCATTTGCTGCCTATTGCTGAATCTTTTATGAGGTATCTAGCAATACTAAATCATTAACAGAAACTTCAATCATTTGCTGCCTATTGCTGAATCTTTTATGAGGTATCTAGCAATACTAAATCATTAACAGAAACTCTATATTACAGGTCACAATGCATTTGTATTTTATGAGGTATCTAGCAATACTAAATCATTAACAGAAACTCTATATTACAGGTCACAATGCATTTGTACATAAATATAACATGTACATGTATGTCTATCCTTGTATGTGGGAAATGGCTTCAGTGTATCAGACAAATGTCTCTGTGGTTAAAGAACAATTCAGAGTCGTTTCCATTTCCAAAGACAATTATATGGTTTTATCACCCTCATCTGGGACCGAGACAAAAGAGAGGATTAGTACCGCATATATTCCTTAACGTTCTAATTTTTCGCCTTTTTTTTATAAATCTGTGGATGCTTACTATCAAAACTAACTTAACATGGTTTTTTTTGCTCGTGCGTGAGCGTGTCGGCCTAAGCACCACTTTAAGTGCATAACAGTTGCCTTTTCTTACAGGAATCTACTGTCCATGTGTGCTTCAGTAACAAATATCATCCCAATATTAGATGATCAGACCAAGATTTCCGGCTGTATCCTTTTCACTACATGTACTTGATTTTGCTCTCATATTCTGCTACATAGCTTACTTGCATAAAGTTTGCTTTCATTTCATAGCATCGTTACATTACAGCATCTCCTTAATGAGGAGTATCAGTTGTTGTTGATAGAAACATGAAGAGAGTTGAGAAGTTCGAGCTCGATATCGATTTACCCTCATATGAGACGAGCAACAGGCTTTGGGAAATGGCTAGCAGTGGCTGATTTTTTAAATGTTCCTTATCAAATTGATATGTATCATATGAGACGAGCAACAAGTACTTTTTTTTGGTGACTACATGCCCTTTTGTTGCTGTTTAAAAGATGCATCTTGAAGTTTCTATGTGCAAAGATTCGTTGCTCATGCACTATGTTAAATATATCATTTAGTTCATTGCCTAACAAGATTACCTGGTTCATTATCCTTTTATATATGATCTTCATAAATGTACTAGTGAAAGTTTTTGGTCTGCAATATCTTATATTTATTTGATTACTTGATTACTGTATTCTGTGTCTTTGTTCTACATGAGACCAAAAACTGTGGAAGAGATCTTAACAATAGATATAAAACCCGGATGGAAGAAGGGCACAAAGATCACATTTCCAGAAAAGACAATGAGCAACACAACCTAATACCTACAGATCTTGTCCTCATTATCGATGAGAGGCCACATGGTATCTTCAAGAGAGAAGACAATGATTTATTCTACACAACAATGATCTCCCCTCGCATTGCAATGCTTGAAATAAATAATTGTCAGTTCAACAATTATGTGGCTCTCGTGAGGGGTTTGATGTTTGGTTAATGTGTTTGTTATTATCTCTATTCCATCAAAATTATGTCTGTATTTTTCCTTTGGTTGAGGTTATTGTGGCATTTTAAGGCGAGTTGTGATGCTTATTCATAAGACAAGTTTGCACATTCGAAAAAATTGTGCTCTATTTGAATTTTTTTTAATGTGGCATAAGTGGCTTCTTGTGACATTGGTTATCGCAATAAATAATGTATATTATTTTACAGGTGATGTATTCTTTGAGTTCTTTGCGCTTGGTATAGTAAAAAGAAAAAAAATATGATTGATAATTTTAATGCTATCTTGTTCAATATGTTCATGCTATTCCTGAATGGGTTATGTACATGCCTGTGCATATTTTGATAATTCAAAAAGTTTACAAAACCCCCCCTAAATTTTGTAAAAAAACCCCAATAGTTTACAAAAAAACCCCTCAAAGTTTACAAAAAACACCCTAAAAGTATTATACATATATAGCTATTATAGTTAAACGGGCAAATGGGTGGCCCGTTTACTAAATGGGCGGGTAATAACCCGCCCATTTAGAAAATGTTAAATGAGTCATAAATGAGTAAATGGGCAAAACATGCCTGCCCATTTATGGCCCGCCCATTTAATACCCAAACTCACCCATTTAACATCTCTAATTACAAGTTACCACGCCATCAAAACTAATTATTTCAAAATATCTTTTATGTTGAACGCAAGAGGAGAATGAGGCCTCCAAAACCCATAAATCCAAATTTACAAAGGGAAACCATTGAGCAAGAATAAACTTGCAAGCTCTCTAATCTCAGCCCTAATCTCATGAGGGAGAGGAATTGAGGCTTTTATGTGGGGAATTAAGAAGAATGTTTGAGTTAAATGTGTATCCCTTCTATAGATACAAACGAATAAGCTAGGTTGTCATAATAACTCATTTATTACTCTCTTAAGGCTCAATCATTATGAAAACCCACAAATCCAATTTAAAACCTAAAACTTAATTTAACAAATATAAAAATGACATTTGTGAATTCCACTAGAAAAAAAAACATGTGACATGTGTCAATATAAAGGATTCAAGGAAATCAAACAGCTCAAATTAATTCAATCAACGGCTAAATTTTGTTCGGAAAAGAGTAGGGTCCTTGCAAAAGCTACATTCTTTAGAAAAAAGAGCAACAATTATATTGCATACCTACGTGTTGATGTCAGTTATCTAACAGGGGGATTATGGGCTAATCCCGAATAATAGCAGGGTTGAGGGCCGACACCGAAGATGCTGCGGGTCCCTTCGTCCCCTTGGTCGCTTTCGCGCAGGGCGTGCATATACATTATGTGGGAGTTCTTCTTAGGCAGGCCGGCCCGGCCCGGCCCGGATCGGAAATCCGGTATTTATTGAGGAACCTTATCCAACACCATCGTTCCTCATCTGGTCACAGGCCAGAAATCAACGGCCCTGATCGCGTAACGTCATTTCGGGAACATGTGACATCCAACGCCCCTCAAAAACCATTTCTTCGTTAGCACACCAACTCGTTTTTCTAATCTCGACGGATACTCTTCATCATTACTGGAAAGAGAAACCCTTTCGACGAGCAACACCGCTCCTCCTCCTCCTCCTCCTCCTGTCGGATCAAGGTATGACCCAAGAAAGGGATCCGAAGCCTGCCCAAGAGTCAACGGCGGCGGCCACCTCGACGAGGCAAAGGTAGTTATTTTGATGCCCTAACCCTAAGCTTGTTTATGAGCTTTTAATTTCCGTTGGGATTCTATATCTGGGGATTTTTGTGATGCACATCCTACTACTGTCCAATTTCTTTAGGCTTTAGAAGAATGCGTGCCTCTTTTAACAGGCTTTGATGCTCTCATAATTGTTGTTACCAAAGGATTTGGTCACCAAAATTGTGCTCAGTTCCCAAGCATAGCTTTGACATTAATATCTATATCCATATCTATCCTTTGACGTGTGATTTAAGTTAATATAGTTAGAGAGAGGGAGGCCTTATGACTTCCGGGGCTCCGGAATTTATCATCGAGATGGGAATGCAATTTCCGATGTTATTTGCTCCATTTAGCTTCTCTTTTAGGAGAAAGCACATCAAGTAATTGCTCTTGGTTTTGTCAAGAATGGTGATTGGGATTTGGGACTGTAACCCCCGATGGTATCTTGCCACCTTACCTGAGAAGTAAGGTTGAAAAAACTTTCCTTGCATGTCACGTGTGTGTCTTTATCCAATAAACAATTCTTAGGTGACAAAAGCCTCCTTGTTTCTATTTCTGTTCTTCTGGCAACCAAGGTTGTCAAGCAAATTTTGAAGTCACAGTGGTTGTTGGTCCCTGAATTAAGCATCACTATGAAGAAGAGGAATGACGGCTGAAATAGGAGGCACCAACAAGTTTTAACCAACCATCCACCTTGATTGCTGAGTTTTTGGCTTAATTTGTTTAGTCTCCCTCCTTGTCTCTTTCTCATTACCTCACCATACCCCGTATATATTTATTAATTATCGCTACTTGGTCATATTTCTACAAATAAAAAACCTTTCTTAGCAATTTGTCTGGAGACATAAAACGTGTCATCATATGATACATCTGATTATTTATAGAAATAGCAGATGAAATGTAAACACTTTAAAAAAAGGTCTTGTATACAAAGATATGCAACATATATTATTATCATTATATGTCTACTGTAAAAAGTTCATTCCAATAGACTAGTTCTAAGAATTATTTAGATTGACAGGTAGATGAGCTAGTTGCCTCAGGAGCTGACACGTGTTGACCTAGATCTTTACTTCTTCCGAATGAAGAGGCTTTGTCAAAGAAAGTAATATTGGATAATGAGGTTGGAGATTCATTATTACTTCATTTAGAAAAAGGACACGGAAGAAAGTAAATACGTATTCATACACAACAGACACCTTGATAAAGTTTCGCAGAAGTCTAATGTTTCGGTGCTAAACTTCTGGCCAAGGAAACGACAAATGCAAACAGGGGCTTCTCATAGAATGCTGAAGGTTAGTTGGCAATAGAAAAGCTTATTCTGTAGTTATGCACTTCAACCTCATGCAGTTGAGGAGCAATTTCTTCAAAAATAGATCAAAGTCTAATATGAAGTAAAGATGATATCTTTATTGTTGGCAGTTACTTTTTTTGCATTTAAGCTAAAAGAGCGGAGCAAAAAAAGTCTTTATCAGCTTATGTTTGGCTATTGAATTTGGTGCATCAGTGTAATTAGATCTTTAGTTCACATTTCCTGTTGAAGTTATGAAATTATAGTTTCTGATTCAATAGAGAAATAATAATAATAATGATGCCTTTATAGTTCCTCCATTTGGCTTTGTTAAGGGCCCTCTTTTTCTATGTAATTACTACAATGCCAATTTTTACCGCATAAACAATAGGGCTTGAATCTTATATTTTTGAGGACTGAACTCTTGTTTGCTTAAGCTCCAAGTGATTACTTTAGGATGCATAGGTTTTGATGGCTATGAGCCATTAACTGCATCCCTGAATGCTTCACACATAAGTATGGATTTGTTATGTGAACTCCTCGTCTAAGCATTTGTATTGATAAACATTTGTGATCTTTTCTAACAGGAGAAAGAGGAAGTGGGATCAACCGGCAGAATCTTTGGTATCTGCTGGAATATCTGTTGCTGGAACTTTTCCCTTAAGTATGTGTGGCATTGTTGGGGTACCTTTACCAGAAACTGTTCGACTTCCCAGTTCTGTTATATCAAATTCAGTTGCAGCAAATTCTGCCACTGTTTCTTTATTACTCCAATCATCTTCCATCTCTCAGAATTCTGATGCAACAATCCAGAAAATATCTCAGGTGAGTTTTGGTCATAAATTTCTTTGTCTGTTTCCTTTATCTTACTCTGCAGCTTCACAGCATAAAATCTACAGGAAATACTATTATATTGCCACTTCTGATGAGTAATTAAGAATGTTTTCATTTATTTATATCATATTTCTTTCAACTATTAGAATATTATTTTATATACTAGCATATTTGCACGGGCAAATGCAACTGTAAATTTCTATCTAAATCTTACATGTTACTTATGTGTATTTATAGGATTTCTATTAAAAAATACATGTGTATAATGCACGATCAAAATATTAAGAATCTTTTAAAAAGTATGCATGTCTTTTGTACATCTAAAAAGTTACTATTGTATCCTTTATTTTAATAAGAGGAATGAAATTGACCTTAAAATTCATATAGTAGTTTTATTGAGCATTAGTGGATCTAAATAAAATAAAATATATTTTTATTTATATTCTTACCTTTTTAGTTTCTAGATTATGACACGAGGATATATTAATTTTAGATTCTAGCAAAGCAAAAACAATTATACATAAAATTCAGCCAATCTATATTATATACATGTTAAATAAAACTCTTATTTAAAATATGTCACTATACATATATAGTTTACATTGTGTTGCAATTTTTTTCAATTACATGATTTTTGAAAGGCTTGTGCTTGTGCATCAAGGTCAAAATTTGAGAAGAGGAAGATGGAACTGACAATAAATGAAAAAGATAAGAGGAATGAAAGCAATAGAACTTTCTAGAGAGATGGAGCTCACACAATAAATGATGTTAACAAATGACCAATTTATCCTTACCCTGTACTAAAATGGCCCTCTATTTTTTAAGAAATTGGTGGAATGATGATCAATTCCTCCACATTTGCATACCCCCACAATGTTTTTTATCTAATTGTATAGATAAGCTGAAACATGCAGCATGTTTTTGGAGCCACTTGTGGGTCATGCTACTTCAATTCCTTTCATCTTCCACAACCACTCTACTATTTTTTCCATTTTGCAGCCAAAAATTCCAGACGAATTAATAGCACGGGAAATTGTAATAAATGATGCAGAACCTACCATCCGCTACAAGCTCACAAAGCGTCAAACACAAGAAGAGGTGAATAAAGGATTCAAAATCTGCAGTAAAGATTCAATGTGACAAACTCATCTGTTTTGGTCATGACATGACAGACTTTAATTTTTGCAGATTCAGAGATGCACTGGAGCTGTTGTCATAACTAGGTACATTTATTTCCATATACTTTTAATAGTAAATAGGCATTCCTTGATTCTAGCCTTATATGTTGGAGTTTATAGGGGCAAGT